GTCAGTTAAACACATTAAACTACTATAACAGTGTAACAGTTAAACACATTGGTATAGGAGTTTAATGTGTTTAACTGAACACTGGTATAGGAGTTTAGTGTTCAGTTAAACACATTAAACTCCTATACCAGTGTTCAGTTAAACACATTAAACTCCTATACCAGTGTACACAGTTAAGCTTAGTTTTAACATTTATTTCATGGGTTAGACTCTTTGAACAGATAAAACTCTTTTCTTATTCTTTGAAACCTAAATAAATTAATATTTTAAGTGTTACTAGGAACACTATAATACAACTAATCACAAAAAGACAATTAAATTGTTTCTGAAGTTTTCCTTTTTCCATGCTTAGATACAAGAAATGGATTTCCTTGTATCCTGTCGAAATCTGTGACATAAACAGCAGAACTTTGTGGAAAATTTATACTCGGTTTGATTCAGGCCTTTTATTGGCTAGTGAATAAACATTTCTTTCCAATTTATACTCGGTTCTGATGCAGGCTTTTTATTGGCTAGTGAATAAACATTTCTTTCCAATTTATACTCAGTTCTGATTCAGGCTTTTTATTGGCTAGTGAATAAACATTTCTTTCCAATCTATACTCGCCAATAAAAAGCCTGAATCAGAACCTTGTGAATAAACATTTCTTTCCAATTTATACTCGGTTCTGATGCAGGCTTTTTATTGGCTAGTGAATAAACATTTCTTTCCAATTTATACTCGGTTCTGATGCAGGCTTTTTATTGGCTAGTGAATAAACATTTCTTTCAAGGCTGATTTTTAAACAGTAGACTGTAATAACCGTTTCCGTTACATACAAGTAAAGATGGATGACAACAACATGTTAACAGGAAGGAAACTAATAAAAACCATCAACGTACACCAACATTAAATTCTATTACGTGAGTCTAGCACTGGGTAGATGTGCATACTTATTCATACATAACTGAGATGTATCAGGTATTTCCACTTAACTTTATAAGAGAATCATCCTCCAGTAATAATAAAAAGTTTTATTTATAAATACTTACATGAGCTCTGCAAAGGATACAATCCTGATCCCTCGTTATTTAGAAATGCTCCTGTTTCTGAAAAAAAAATTAACCTCAAAAATCTCTTCAAGACAGAACCAAATAAATCTAGTTATAATTGTTATTACCATTTTTAACCTACTGTTCATTAGTATCATTATCATCACTGTTACTATTCATTATTGCTATTATTAACACTCTTAACATACTGTTCATTATTATTACCAATGTTAGCTCACTGTTCATTATTATTACAAATGTTAACATACTGTTCATTATTATTACAAATGTTAACATACTGTTCAACATTATTACAAATGTTAACATACTGTTCAACATTATTACAAATGTTAACTTACTGTTCAACATTATTACCACTGTTAGCTTACTGTTCAACATTATTACCAATGTTAGCTTATTGTTCAACATTATTACCAATGTTCGCTTACTGTTCAACATTATTACCAATGTTAGCTTACTCTTCAACATTATTACCAATGTTAGCTTACTCTTCAACATTATTACCAATGTTCGCTTACTGTTCAACATTATTACCAATGTTAGCTTACTCTTCAACATTATTACCACTGTTAGCTTACTGTTCAACATTATTACCAATGTTAGCTTACTGTTCAACATTATTACCGATGTTAGCTTACTGTTCAACATTATTACCAATGTTAGCTTATTGTTCAACATTATTACCAATGTTAGCTTACTGTTCATCATTATTAGCAATGTTAGCTTATTGTTCAACATTATTACCAATGTTAGCTCACTGTTAGTAACAGAGTTGACAGTTAATATTTATTAACAATTAGAACTAGTAACAGAAAGAGAGTTGATAGTTAATATTCATAAGCACATACGGTTAGTAACAGAGTTGACAGTTAATATTTATAAGCACATAGAGTTAGTAACAAAGAGAGAGTTAACAGTTAACATTTATTAGCACGTACGGTTAGTAACAGAGTTAACAGTTAATATTTATAAGCACATAGAGTTAGTAACAAAGAGAGAGTTAACAGTTAACATTTATTAGCACATACGGTTAGTAACAGAGTTAACAGTTAATATTTATAAGCACATAGAGTTAGTAACAAAGAGAGAGTTAACAGTTAACATTTATTAGCACATATGGTTAGTTTTGTAAACACATATATGACACTGAATAACTAAAGTTTGGGATAAAGTCCAAGCATAATTCCCCACATATTCTCTTGCCATCAGCCTATTTAGCTGATGCTTGTCAGGACTTTATTTTAAGTATGAAGTTCTGAGAATTTAGTGTGTTTACATTACATATTCTTACACAAAATTTTAATGACATTTGAATGTATCATAAATTTTATGATTCACAGTAAGAGATCACCTTTTACAAAACCATCATATTTACTTCTTGTTTTCTATCCTTACAGTAAGTTGAACATGTATATTTTGAAACTTACAGCACACTGTTACTGATTTGATACCCAATCTAAGCAAGTTGTACTTAATGCCTACAATTGATTTCATCAAATTTGTGGTATGAAATCGAAAGTTTTTGAGAGAAAATAAAAACCTAAAGTTCAAACTGTATTATTTATTTCAGATAAATTATTAATAAATTAGATGTACTTGTGCAAGGTCTCTGAGCATTTTCTGTTTCAACAGTAAATAAAACCAAAATTCAGAGTAACAATATTTATATTTCTTGCTTTCAAAGTTCATATGTCATGCTGTGTTGTAGCCTATAGAATGCATAACTATTCTCAAAATTCATGGCATGCAAACATTTTACTGATGTCACAACAATACAAATTGTAATGTGATGTCATTTTCAGTGTCGACTGAAAAACAAAACACTACTGTATAGTGATGTGAGTAGTTAAAAGAGGTGATCCCTCCGGGCAGCTTTCGGCCCCCTTTCAGTGAAGGAAAAACTTTAAATTACACCACAGTATTAACCTCTACTTCATTAACATTATTAATAATTATAAGCTTACGAATCAAAACCACAGCTATATTATTATTTCATCAGATTATTTGTTAATAAACAACACAAACCTTTGTCCACTTCTTCATACAGGTGATCAATGAACTCATTCAAGTGTTGTTTTTCTTCTGTTGGGAGATCAAGAGCATCACAATTTTTGGTCCAAACACTGAGAGGACTATTCAGAGTAAAATAAACGTAGAGTTATAATCTACGGGATAAAATTCGGTTTTTTAATAGAACTAAGTTATAAGTTTGCATCAAATATAAATAGAATTGTGGCCTTCTGCATTTCCATTCTACAGAAATAGAATCATGACAATTTTTAGTGAAGTGTTATTTAAGTAATAATTTTGAAAAGGAAATTGGTGAATAAAAAACAAGTGGCAAATTTAGGATATCAATTAAACATCATTTTTGATAAAAGACTTAGCACAAAGGATCACATATAAAGTGTAATAGACTTAAAATAAGACCCAAAACTCGAGCGCTTTCGAATAGTTGACTATTCTTCTTTGTTCTCCTGAAGAAGAATAGTTAACTATTCAAAAGCCCTTGAGTTTTGGGTCTTATTTTAAGTCAATTAAACATCATGATGATGCTGTCCATTAGATTATTTCTAACAGCATCTCGATAAAGAAAACTAACTAATCTAAAGGAATTTTCTATACAACAGGTAGCAAGTTCAGAAAATTAACTAAACAACACCAGGATAATCACGATGTCATCAACCACATTATTACTATCTGCATATTGATAAAAAAGAATAGATAAAGAACTCTGAATAGAAGTATAACTGTAATAATTGCACATAATGTACTCTGTTATATTTTATGAAATATTATTGCATGTGCCACAGCATGATCATAAACAAAACAAAAATATGTAAATAACAATGTGAATAAGAGGGGTTTTACATATTTTGAAGGAAGCTAATTTAGGAGACATACAAATAATTGTTTCAAAAGCGTAACAAATACGCATAAGTTTCAACAGGAGGTTGAATAATACTTTTTGCTAAGCCTAAATTTATGATGCTAACCAAAAATTACCCAATTCTTCACATTAGTTAAATTTAAAGGCAACAATCAGATCTCTATTACTCCTTTTTACAAATATTTAAAAACAAAATAAGTCTTGTTGACCAGATTCAGTTTAATATTCTTGAATAAAATGGGTCTTAAAAACAGAGTGTTTAAACAAATTGTTCAACCTAACAATATAGTATTAAGAGAAAAAAACACAAAACCAACGTTTTTGGGCACAATGAAATGTAAAATCTTTATTATTAGCTACAACCGACCAGTTTTGTTAACACTATAGACACTAGCTCTGATGATGGTAACACCGATAAAGTAGTAAAGAGAATGTGTCGTGTCTACAGAATTAAGCCCAGTTTTTTTTCCTTTGTGTTATAATTAAAGAATTTTTTACACTTTACATTATTTAAATATTTCTCCCAACTTAAAACTCAGTAATTTAGTCAAATTCAGATTACTTCCCAAATTTACCTCATTTATTACTTCATAAATAAAATAAACCTATGTGTTAATTGCATGAAAATCAGTTTATCTAAGAATACCATATCACTCCATGTAAAGTGAAGATAAAACTGAGTATACTTGATGATACTATCAACTTGAAATAACCCTATGCTGTAAAAAGAACAGTTTATCTCATGTTCTTTTTACAGCATAGGGTTATTTCAAGTTGATAGTATCATCAAGTATACTCAGTTTTATCTTCGCTTTATATTGTGTACGTCCATAACGTTTATCTCATTAAAAATAAACAACACTGTACTGTATAACGAACATGTTAAATGCAGTTGAATTTAGACCAAGCCCGTTCCCTTGGCTGTGGTTTCGCTAGATAGTAGATAGGGACAGTGGGAATCTCGTTAATCCATTCATGCTCGTCACTTATTAGATGACGAGGCATTTGGCTACCTTAAGAGAGTCATAGTTGCAACTGTTCACAAGATATACGGCTAGGTTTCAGCAGCTGCAGCTAAAAAGTTCACATATATTAATATTAATATGAAGAGTATTCAGAGTATACTGAAAATGACTTGTTTGTTTTGAATCTTCTGCAAAGCTACTCGACAGCTATCTGCACTAGCCGTCCCTAATTTAGAAGTGACAGACTAGGAGGAAGGCAGCTAGTCAACACCAGCCACTGCCAACTCTTCGGATACCCTTTTACCAACTAATAGTGGGATGGACCATCACTTTATAATTCCCCGATGGCTGAAAGGGTGAGCATGTTTAGTGTGTCAGGAAAATTACTTACAGTATTGTAGAGTGAAAATGATTCTCAAAGATCAAAGATATCACCAAAAAAAACTGGTTATTGAGAAATCAAAATATATGATGCAATAGAAACTAATTACCAATAATTTTAAAAACCCTACCTAGTACCCACTCCTTGTCCATTTGTTCCTACTAAAGCAATGAGTGACCGGAATCCTTCTGGAGTGAACCACTGAAATTAATGATAACAGAACCTTATGGCTAACCTTCAAAATTATTTCTTATTATGGCTTATTAGCAAAATAAAACATTTATCATTAAAGGAAGTTTACTCTCTAAACAACTCTCTAGTCTTAACGACTTACAAACCTCTTTAGACCTAAAATTATTCTAAATTTACACATTTAAAACTCAACCATTTCACAAAATAATATTTAATTTTTTGGTTATTCTTTTATCCATCTGTAAATAAAATGTTTTGTGTTTTGTCAATTTTCTTCTTCTTTACCATCAACACATTTATCAAAATAGATACCAGTAAGCTTGAATCAAAGAAAAATTCTTTATAGTTTCTGATAGATATCTAACCAATCAGTGCTTCTTTTCATGTTAGTAATATATACTTTGCACTACAAAATATGGTAACATTGTACACTGTTTACTTATGAACCAGTTTGTTTGTTTGTTTTTGAATTTCGTGCAAAGCTACACGAGGGCTATCTGCACTAGCCGTCCCTAATTTAGCAGTGTAAGACTAAAGGG